GTGTGTGTGTGTGTGTTTTTATGAGGAGGGGTCTGGGGAAATTGTTTCATACTGAAGACATACAGGCCATTCGCCCCATCTATTCCTCACCAGGATTGGAGCCTCCCTCCACTTTTCATCATCTAAATCTTCAAGTGTAACTCTCTCTAAGGCCTCCTCCCTCCTGTGACCCCTCAAACACACGAGATGATTGATTTCAGCCTGTGGGAGTGAGTTCCACGTTGTGTTCCCCCCTCCCCCAGGGCGCTCCCTAGGGGAAGTGGTTCCTTCTGGGATTCCCGATGGGATATCTCAGGGACTGTCTGATATTGACTGCCTCTGGTTCTGCTCTACCTCCACCAAGGGGAAACGTTCTCCATATCCACTCCATTGTAAAGCTTTCAGCATTTTAAACGCCTGTACTAGGCCGCCCCTCGGCCTTCATTTCTCGAGAGGACAGAGCCTCAGTCTGTCAATCCTTTCCTGATGTTTAGCCTCGCACGTTTCTATTAACGCTCGCTCGAGGGAGCAACTGACAGCTATTCCCCGTCTCTCGTTGTCATCCCGTTGCTTTGCAGGGTACAAATGACTCCGAGGTTGTTAAACTGCAGCGACAAACAGATGAGGTGGTGGAAGTGATGTACGCTAACGCGAATAAAGTCAAGGAACGGGGAGGCAAACTGGAAGTCCTGGACGACAGAGCTGAGAAGCTGCAGGAGGCGGTGAGGGCTTTTACGTTGGGAAACAACTTGTTTTGCGCACAGACTTCATTTAGATCGATCGGGCACAAATCCATTCCGATCGGGAAGGGTGATGGAATCTCCTGTTGAGAGTAGATTTGAGGATTGTTAGTTTATTTTTTTTTAATTAAATAAAGACAGTGGATGCCTTTTCACAGCAATGACTCTGAAAGGAACTTGGCAAACTCTTTGTTTAACGACGACGTTGGGGGGCAAGTGCAGAGGTTGGGAGTGAAAGTTCACACCACTGTGCCAGAACACCCTCGCCATCTTGCATTCCCCAACTTGCTCTCCTGAAAGAGGGCAGACCCATTAAGTTGGCCACCTGGCACAGAGTCATAGAGTCATACGGCACAGATACAGACCCTTCGGTCCAACTCGTCTGTGCCGACCAGATAATCTGAACTGATCTAGTACCATTTGGCCCCTATCCGTCTAAACTCTTCCTATCCACGTACCCTCCAGATGTCTTTTAAATGATGTACCAGCCTCCACCACTTCCTCTGGCAGCTCGTTCCAAACACGCACCACCCTCTGCGTGAAAAAGTTGACCCTCAGGTCCCTTTCCCCCTCTCACCTTAAACGTATGCCCCTCTAGTTTTGGACTCCCCCCTACCCTGGGGAAAAGATCTTGCCTATTTACCCTATCCATGCCCCTCATGATTTTATAAACTTCTATAAGGTCACCCCCCTCAGCCTCTGACATTCCAGGGAAAATAGCCCCAGCCTATCCAGCCTCTCCCTATGGCTCAAACAGTACAGCTAAGCGTCTGGCTTCCTCTGCCATTTTACACGGCCGTTGAGAATCTACAGGGGGGCGATTGGCACTTTGCCCTCTGCGATGGCAGCCTGGCACCATTGGCCTTTCTCATTTGACCAAGAAACGATAAAAATTTGCAGAGAGTCCTCTCCCCATCCCTTCGAACCAAAGGCCTCACTTCCGGCCTTCAGTTTTGAAAGGCCGCCGCCATCTTTAATGGGTCACTGAGTCAGCCCGGGAGTTGCCAATTGGCCAATTCACGGGAAGCCGTTGCCAGGTGATGGTTCCCTACGCAGGGATGGGGGCCTGGACTCCGTTTGATCCCGAGGTCGCGGTCTGATTGTCAACTTAGATCACGCCCCCCCTCCCCCATAGATTCTCAGTTAACCTTTGACCCTTGTGACTCAGAGGGGAGCTTTAGTCTGTGTTGCCGAGGTGATCCTATTGAATGATAGAACAGGCTCAAGAGGCCAAATGGCCTCCTCGTGTTCCTATTTGTGTAAGGGAGGCGACGGCCTAGTAGTACTATCGCTGGACCGTTAACCCAGAGACCCAGATAACGTTCTGGGGACCCGGGTTCACATCCCACCACGGCAGATGGTAGAATTTGAATTTAGTAAAATATCTGGAATTAAGAGTCTAATAATGACCATGAATCTATTGTCGATTGTTGGAATCTGGTTCACTAATGTCCTTTAGGGAAGGAAACTGCCATCCTTACCTGGTCTGGGCCTACTTGTGACTCCAGACCCATACAGCAATGTGGTTGACTCTTAACTGCCCTCTGGGTAATTAGGGATGGGCAATAAGTGCTGCCTAGCCAGCGACGCCCTCATCCCGTGAATAAATAGAGGAAAAAAAATACTCCCTCAGGATCGTACCCCTTTAGGCCTCAGGTCACTCGCCGAGCCTCCGGCACGTTCAAATCTAGCCTTGCCTCACAAGAAGAGGCTGCCCTGTTCCAGGTTTATTAATCCGGGAAGTCTTCTCTGAGCTGCCCGTCTTTTTTACCCCTTTATAAATAAAGTGACCAAGACTGTGCGGAGTCCCTCAGACGGGGTCTCACCTGTGCCTTTGGCGGGGAGGGGGATGTAACTGAAATGTAATGTCCCTCCTCCGCTTGCGTTTAATTCCCCTTCGAACAGGCCGCAGCTGGAGTGCTGTGCGCAGTTCTGGTTCCCCCCCACCACCTTCCCAGCACCGTTTGGGACGGAAAGTGGGGTGCAGAGGAGATTCACCAGGATGTTGCTTGGCTGGTTGGCTAGGCCCAGGCTGTTTCTTTTTTGTTTTTGTTTTGGAGCAGAGAAGGCTGAGGTGGGTGGGTGGGAGAACAACTGATGAAGGGTCATGGACAGCGCACGTAGGAAACAGCTGTGCCCTGACAATGAAGGGGCAATGCCAAGGGGCACGCTTTGAAAGCGAAGGGTTTCGAGGGCAGCTGAGGGAAGCGTTTTACACCCAGAGGGTGGCAGGGATCTGGGATGCGCTGCCTGGGAGAGCGGCTGAGCTGGGGAAACCTCGCGAGCTCTTTTTAAAACCAAAAAGTACTTTAGACGAGTACTTGAAGTGTCGAGGCATTGGAGGGACCAATGGAATCGGGGTCAGCACAGACTCGGCAGGCCGAAGGGTCTCTTCGGTGCTGTCTGAGCGACAGCAGTCTCGCTCCCCGAAACAATGAGAATTCACCGATACGGTTTGAGGATAACGGGCGTGTGCGCTCTTCTTCCTTTTGAAGGGGAAACTGTTTCAGAAGACAGCAAAGCAGGTCACTGTGCAGGAAGCGTCCAGGAACAGGAGGTGGAAAATTATCATCGGAGTGGCCGTGGCTGTTGTCGTCATCGTCATCGTCGCCGTCGTTGTAGCAACTTCTTCTCAGAAAAGTCCGCATCCAGCCGATGCTTTTGTCAGAATGGCAACGACGGAGGCCAACCAGCACTGACCGTTGTGATCTGGGTTGACTGGGTGTTGAGAGAGACGTGCCCACTCGATTGTCCGTTGCTACCCTAGAACATAGCGCCTTTAAACTGTGGAAATTAGACGTTAGAAACTGAACCGCTACCACGAAGCGACGATCGACGTCGTTCACACCCCTAACCACCCCCCCAAAACCTTTGTCGCGGTTTTAAATTATTTCCTGGCCTATTTTGTTGCAAAATGCGGCCGGATTTCACGTTTGCAATGACATTTGGGATGCGCGGGTGGATTGTTCCATTAGTCTGCGTTTCGAGCTGCTTGCACCGCAGTACCTGCAGACTGTTTCGACGGGGAAAATCAGGTCCTGGGGTCGCTTAATGATTTCGTACTGACCTGACAATCCGGCGGGGAGGGGGGGGTTAATGACCTCCTGACCTTCCAGACTGGGTCAACCATGTTCGACGAAACCAGGCAGCTTGCGGGCCTAGAAAGGATTGGCCACGGGAGTAACTGGACCGTGTGTCGAAAATCCAACTGTTTTCGCTCAGGGAATCCGTGATTCCGAATTGGTCTGATCCTAACGTCTATAACTCCCCTTTTCCCCCCACCTCCCCCTCCACCCCGCCAAAACCCTGCCCCACCATCGACAAGTCAGGAGTGTGATGGAATTCGTCCCAATTTCCTGTAGACTTTGGGTGGCTCGCTTAATTGGCAACCCATCCACCGAGCTTCAACATTCGCTCCTTCGTCCACCAGCGGCTAAACTGTTGGGTCACAGAAGAACTGCCCATTATGGCCACGCTGGCCCTCTGGGCATTTTAGCTCAGTGCCAATCACCTGCCCTTTCTCCCCATCATTGTTTCTGCGTAAATAGCCATTTGAAGTCCTCTTGGATGCTTTACTTGCTTCCAGGCAGTGCATTCCAGACCCTAACAGCTCGCTGTACGCGCGCAGCGGGGCGTACCGTCTACAAAATGACGTCCTACCGAGGCTCCTCCCTTGCAAAATGGCGACCTGGACCATCCAGGGGGCCCAGGAACAGCAGACGGATGGGAACACCGCCGCATCCAAGTTCCCTCTCTGAGCTGCGCACCGTGCCAACTCGTTCACCACCTCCTCCAAGGCAATGGGCATTAAGTCGTGGTCTACCCACCGTGGTCCGCCATCTAAGATCGGTGACTCAAACTGTACGGCCGAACCCCGAGCGTACGCTGAAGTACGACAGGGACAAACTGCAGCTGATGGGGGTCTCCCCAGAATTCTACCCCCTCCCCCCACCCCACTAGACCACAAAAATAAAAGTTAGGAATTATTCTCGGATTTTATAGCAGTGTTTATCGAAGGATCAGTTGAGTTGATGGGCGACCGGTTTAAGGTTTAATTGGCTGAGCAAATTGCACGAGCGATCACCAGTGATCGTTCATGGCCCCTCACAGACGAGGATGACTCTCGGTGGCAGGAGGGGCACAGACCAATATGGCTACCGCAGGCTCTGTTATGCGTTTGGCAGGGGGGGAGCAGAAGGTGGTGACAGGAAAGGGGTGTCGGTGCGTCTGTCTATCCCAGCGGGATTTGTGGGATTGTGCGCGGGTGGCATCGGTGGCACAGCCTGCGCCTCAGAGCCCTACGGGAGAGCTGGAAGCACCACAACGCTGTGTACCAAGAGCCCGGCGTCAGGTCTGACGTTGCTGTCCTCGGAACACCCTTTTCCTCGGGCCGCACTGGCGCATTAGCACGTGTGAAATAGCAGCGGGAGTGGCCCATCTGGTCTCTCATGTCCGCTCCACTGTTCCATAAGACCGTGGCTGATCTTTCCGTGCACTCAGCTCCATGTACCCACTCGCTCACCATAACCCTTAATCCCTTTGCTGTTCAAAAATCTACCTTCGCCTGAAAAACACTCAACGAGGTCTCCTCACTGGGCAGGGAATTCCACAGATTCGCAACCCCTTTGGGTGAAGACGTTCCTCCTTGGCTCAGTCCTAAATCTGCTCCCCACCCCCCTCTTATTTTGAGGCTGTGCCCCCTCGTTCTAGTTTCACCCACCAGTGGGAACAACCACCCTGCTTCTATCTTATCTAGTCCCTTCATCATGTTCTATGTTTCTACTAGATCCCCCCCTCATTCTTCTAAACTCCAAAGAGTTTAGCCCCAGACGACTTAATCTCTCCTCACAAACCAACCCTCTCAACGCCGGAATCGACCCAGCGATCCTCCTCTGCACCCCCTCCAGTGCCAGTACGTCCTTTCTCAAGGCAGGAGACCTCTGAGATAAGTAAGAAAAATGAAACAGAAAGTGCTGGAGGAATTCGGCAGGCCTAGCAGCGGAATGCCAAGGAATGGGCCTATCAGACTCGAAAGGTTAACTCGCACATGTCAGACTGACCCTGCGTGGTCTCTCCAGCACCTTCTGTTGACGTCTTGTGACAGCCAGAGTAATATAAGTGCCCGGAGCCCAGTGAAGACCTTACTTCCTAGAATAAGACCATAAGACGTTGGGGCAGAAATTGGGCCATTCGGCTCATCGAATCTGCTCCGCCATTCAATCATGGCTGATAAGTTCCTCAACCCCATTCTCCTTCTTTCTTGATCCCCTTGATAATCAAGGACCTATCTATCTCAGTCTTAAATGTATTCAATGACCTGGCCTCCCACAGCCTTCTGTGGCAGTGAATTCCATAGATTCACCGCCCTCTGGCTGAAGAAGTTTCTCCTTATCTCCGTTCTAAAAGGTCTTCCCTTTACTCTAAGGCTGTGCCCTCAGGTCCTAGACTCTCCTAACAATGGAAACATCTTCCCAACATCCACTGTGTCCAGGCCATTCAGTATGGGAGAGCTGTGGTCAATTACTGCCCCTCTACAAATTTTCAGCGACTTTATAGAATGTATGATTCGCTTAGGGAAGAACTCATAGCATCACAAGTACGAGGGAGGCAACGAAAGCCAGAAGAATCTAAAAAATTCAAAACCATTGTAAAATAAATTGTGCTGTAAAACCAATCATTTGTGCCTCAACCATTAAATGCATTTTAGCTGACTTCCAGCTGAGGCATAATGTAATGTTAAAAGATCTTTTAACCCCTGCAGACATTGTAAAATAGACAGTTCAAAGGAAAGTGGTGTTCCTGCGACACTTTTGGTCGTAATCGATGCCGAAAGTCCTGCATTTCTTTTCGTTTCCCATTCGGAGAATTTTTATTTTCTCTGATTTATTCCATTTTTGTTGCGAGGTTGGGTACAGTACTTGTGAATTGGGAGGTAGGGAGTTAGAACTTGGTGTTTGTAAAATGCTGGGGGTTTGGGTGGTGGGTGGGGGGGGAGGCAGTAGCGTTGCGTGGTCCCGTTAAAAGATGATGTGTTTTTTTCTGTGCTTAGAGATTTAAAATGATTGCCTGTGAGCAGCAGCTTGAAAGTTTGCAAGTACACAGACAGCACCCAGATTGAAACATTTGTATTGAAAGGCCGTACAGTTAACAGGCCAAGCAGCAGTTTTCACCAAGATAACAGGCTTTTGAATTTAGCCAATCAGTTTGAACCAGGCACTTAGATACCAAAAACTGATTAAATTTAGATCTGATGGTTCTGACAACATAGGACCAATCCTATTGTAAGAAATATGATATGTCATCAAGGGTATAGAAAGAAGGGGGCAGTTGGATAAAGCACTAGGGCTAACTGCCATCCGCCAGAGCTAATGGCCCTTGGCTCTCAAGAGAAAATCATTGGCTCTCACGGCCTACTCTAGAGAAAGCACCATCTAAATAACAACAGTACCAACAGCACAACTAGTTAATATTCCTGACAGAAGAGTCAACGGAGAAGGCATGTATCATTCTGGAAGACATGTAACCAGGCTGTAATTTCAAGAGACTAAATTCTATTTTTTTTCATAGAAGTGGGACTTATATTTATTGGAACAGCATACCATTAGAATGTTGCGGTATCCGGGAATAGTTAGGAGTTGGAAGGGATTTATTCGGTTTGTTAATGGTTTAGTTAATTTGTTCACTGTCAGAGTTAGATAAATAAATTGTTACTTGTTGATTTGAAAGTGATTTGTCAGGGATTTGTTTTATTTAACCACTAGAAGTTGCTGGGAGGCAGGTTACACCACTTTTCACACTCCTTTTACAGATTACAGGGCAAGGTGCTCCTC